TTGGGTAACATACCCACTGACAGGGAGTACATACCCACTGACAGGGATTGCATACACACTGACAAGGATTGCATACCCACTGACAGGGATTGCATACCCACTGACAGGAATTACATACCCACTGACAGGTATTACATACCCACTGTCAGTGAGTACATACCCACTGGCGGGGATTACGTACCCACTGACAGGGATTGCACATACCCACTGACAGGGATTGCATACCCACTGACAAGAATTGCATACCCACTGACAAAGATTGCATACCCACTGACAGGGATTGCATACCCACTGACAGGGAGTACATATCCACTGACAGGGATTGCATATCCACTGACAGGAATTACATACCCTTTAACAGGAATTACATGCCCACTGTCAGGGAGTACATACCCACTGACGGGGATTACGTACCCACTGACAGGAATTGCATACCCACTGACAGGGATTGCATACCCACTGACAGGGATTGCATATCCACTGACAGGAATTACATACCCACTGACAGGAATTACATACCCACTGACAGGTATTACATACCCACTGACAGGTATTACATACCCACTGACTTGGGTAACATACCCACTGACTTGGGTTTACATACCTACTTGTTGGTAATACTTACCCACTCACATGGGTTATGTACCCATTGACAGGGATTACATACCCTCCGACAGGGATTATATACCTGTGGAATTGGATAACATACTCACTGATAGGAATTACATACCTTTCAACATGGATTATATACCCTCTGATTTGGATAACATACCCAGTAGATCAGATGTAATATTTGAGAATATTGAGGAAAGAATAACATTCTTTTTTTCTGCTTTGTTTTGCTGCACAGGACAACCCGCACAATGGCAGAATTTGACCTTGGCTGGTTCGGATGAGTCTCAGTGTCATGTAGGAACAAACAGTGTCTCAGTACTCGTAGATCATTTCTAGTATGAATTTCATCCATGGTCAGTTGCAGCCAAATTATCCGGGATGAGTTAATATTATGGAATGATATGTGAAATGTGTCATTTAGATCTGGGGTGTATGTCGGGACAAAAATAGATCAAGGCGTCTATCCATGCAACAAGTTGTAGCCACAGTTTTGGGGTGGTTTTACACCAATATAGAGTTCCCCTATGTCACTGAAAATAACCTTGGTTTGAATTCAAGAGAGCCCTTTAACTTATAGAACTTCAATAATTCATCGCAAAGTTTTAGGGGAATCCTTAGTAGATCCTATCTTTTCAATAATCTGTCTGAACCAGATGACTCCATAGCATTCAGTTCTTTACACTATTTGTGTGCTGTTTTCTCTGCTTAAATTGAAGTCTTGCCTGCCAGATAAGATTTGTTGAGTGAGTTAGGGTGGCCAAAGTGCCCCCCCCCCCAATATAATGGTATGCTCTCATAACTTAGTAAAACATGGCAAAGATCTGTGTGGGCAATAAACTCACTGCCATCTTTTATACCAAATCATTTTTTTTAAATGAAATTTGTACAGAATTTTTTTTTTTTTAAATTGACAGTATTATACTATTTTTATTTTACCTCTGTAGAATAATCCTAGTTTATAGAGCAATGAATTAACTCAATAGCAATAGAGACTGGTTCAAGTATCAGCCCCATCTTTGACGGATTTTATTTTATTGCGTTACTTGCAATATACAAGTAAGAGATACCTGTCTACCACAAAAGAAGGTGTACCACACAATTAACAGTGTAGTGTACACTTCAAATTGCTGAATAATTTAAACCATGTGTTTTGTAAAATACCAAATATGGAATGATCTTTCAAAATTAATGTGGAATAAAAATGCTGTGCTAAGGGAAATGTTTCACACATGTTACAACTATGAGATATGGCATTTATGAGAAGTGTGGTGGTACTGAACGTCTGTGGGGGGGGGGGGGCTGGATGTCTAGGCGAGGGGCTGATACTTGAAACCTGGTACTTGTTGAAGAGATCTATCATTTTATTTTAGATAGAAATAAGTAGCATTTCAGATGAACTGAAATATTGTGCTGAAAAATTGACTTTTCTGCATTGTATATTCCTGTGTATATGGAAAGTTGTCTTTTTTTTCCAAGATAATCTGTAGTTTTACCTTTATTGCAGTCCTGACATCTGTTTAAAGATGGTCTGCAGTTGTGGTTGCAGTCCTCACTTATAACTAGCATATAATTTATAGACTTAAATGGTGATAGTCGTCACGCAGCGCATGTTCGAATTTCACACATTTTACACGTGTTGTATACGTTGATATGAGTCTCATATCAAACTGAACGCGGCATGACGACCACCCTTTAACACTGCAGGTGGAGGTAGCAATGACAAGAAACCATGGATATCCCATGGTGATATTTTCCTACCCACCTCTTCAGTAACCTTTAGTAACCCCAACCAATATTTCTTTTTATCTTGTAAACTCTCCCCCTTTTATTGTATTTCTCCATATTTTTCTATATTTAAATATATATTGTATAGAGTACACCAATTTATTTAATTGGTTATCATTCTGGTCATTATCTGCTGATATTGACCTGACATGAAATACACAGGTCAACATTTGCTCTTGTATTGACCTCTAAAAAGTCAATATTTTATTACTTCATATTTTTCAATTTTCATGTGACAAATATTTTTAAATCAGTCTAATTAATTAATTGCATGTTTTAATGAATTCATCATCGCTTGCTGAAAGTAATCAATTTAGAATGGTGAAGGTCGTTTTTCTTCCAAGAAATGAAACTTACCAAATATATGGAAGTGCCTTTGATGTCTGAAATGCAGTGTGTTCACAAATACAGTCTTCTCACTGCCAACATTTTTACTCTGACTCGGAATAGTGCAGACAAATGAAACTTCAAAGACTTTATTGCCAACAATCTCCAACATGTCTCAGGAAATGATGATTGTGACAAATATAACACACTAAAAATTAATAAAATACCGGTACAGTTCACCATCTTGCCTCATTTTTTACATGTCGGCGTTTACAGAGTATTTATTCCACAAGTGCCTTGTTTGTTAAAACAGATTTTCAAAAAGAAAAAAAATAATCATTTAAATGCGGAAAAGTTGTAATTGCAATAAATAGTCAATAGTTTACATTGAGGAATAATCCTCATATTTTAAGGTTTTATCAGTATTGGATATCAATCCATAGATCCTAGTGAAGAAAGTTGGAAACTGGGGCAATTCCATTAATGTACTTTGGGGTAGAATTGCTTATGTTAATTAAAATCCTAATTAGTGTTAATGATCTATAATTGCAACTGACTTGCTCGTTTATTAAAATATGTCCATAGGTCAACAAAAATGGCCTGTGTTTTAATGTCTGATATTTTGAGGTGTCTCGTATGAATTGTAACTCTTGCAAACAGCTACACACAGTATGGATCAACTATTCACATGACATACATTATGAAAAATGATAGTTTAAAGTTTTTTAAGAAAGGGGGACACAAAATGTGCAATTTTGCCAATATTCACAAATTATTGACTCTCATAAATCCCTATGCCACTAGAATTGTTTTTTTTTAAACTGTTACGACTATAACAACAGGAATGAAATGTTGAGACAATTGACAATTTAGGATCATTGTTGTGCAAACTATTTCAAAAATGGTGCCCAAAAATTGCATCAGGAACCAAGCCAGTACTGCACATGGTGTAGACAATCAAATTATAAATTACAGTTAGTATAAACCAACTTTGTATAGTAAACATTCTGATTTATTGCTCTATTTTCTTACAATTCTTCTCTAGGATCTAACCAAATAATAATATGAATAGTCAGCCATTTTGATAATCATCATGCTGCTAAGGAGTTTGATTCCTGACCTTTTAGGTCAGTGTATTTTGTCAGTTGAATATCCTCTTTGCATTGTTTTCCAATTTAAATATCTATGTATTTCATCACGATATTGGAGTTCAATGTTTTTACAACTAGGATTTTTAAAGTATTCAAAACTAAACAATTTTTGCTAAAATTTTCTTATTATAATTTTGTATCCCTGTTAATATTTGTAGTTAGTTTTTAATGATGCATTATATTCTCAATTTAATAAAAATAAATTACTCGTTCAAAGAATGGTTTGTATTGGTTGTGTATTTATTATGAGTGGTCACATGATTGTTATACTCAAACCTGATTGGCCGGTAAACAAATTATTATTGGTTGAATCAAAGCTTTATGTATAGGCTGCTAGTACTACTGTATTTGTTCTATTAGAAGTATATCTCTAAAAGAAGGGCAGGTAAACCCACAGTTTTGGTGTTTGTTGTATACTGCATCATTATATTATAACCTCGTTATTTATGTATGTGCTGCTAATAGAACAAATATGGTACCTGCATTGAATCATGTAATGTGAAAATGGCAATGTACTCCTTTATTATTTACCAGTATACAGATAACATTACATTCAATTCACCATACAGATAACATTACATTCAATTCACCATACAGATAACATTACATTCAATTCACCATGACATTCACCATAACTAGACTTCTACCTGTTTCATAGAAAGCCGTAAAAAATAAATTCTGTTTCTCGTTCTAAGGGAAAAAGATGCAGTGACATGGTTTTAATTTTTTATTGAGATCATTCAATACCACAACAACAAGATAAAATTCATGATCAATGTTTAGCATTTATTAACTAATGGTTTATGGTACGCAAGATTGCAAAACAATGTTAGAGGTGCAGGTCTCAACCCAAGTGTGAACAGTATTCAGTGGTTGAGGCAAAGTACAAGTCTACTTAGGAGAATTAGCATGAGTTATGCAAATAAGCAGAAGCTATACTCAATAATGTAAACATGAATAACAAATTCTGAAATCTTGAGATAAGTATCTGCTTCATGTCAGTGCTTCGTTCTTTCTGTTCTTAATGACTGATACAAACATCAGGAAAACCACCACGCCTACTAGAGGAATACCGGAATACATCAAGTAGCCTTTTATACCTAAAAAACAGAAAGTTTTATTTAATTCAGCTGCTATGAAGTAGGTTTACCAATGCCTAGAACCTCTATCAGATTCCTGATAGCTCAGTCGCTCTACTTGCTGTAATTATTATGTGAACACCACCCTTGTTAATTCCTTGATGGTTGAGAAAGAACTATCTTCTCATTAATTGCAAATGTTGCACCCTGATGAAAGCTGCATAGTCCTAGCCACGATGCAACATCTGCTTTAAATAGTGCCAGCTAATACAATGAAGTTTTTAAAGTTATGTACAGTTATATATAGTGATATATGATATGAATACAATTGTAGCGAATGAATACAAGTGTGGCTGTTTATAGTTAGCATAAATACAATGGGTTTACAGAAATGGTAGAACAATGTGTCATGTGACCAGAAGTGGTATAAAAACATAATGATTGCAAAGCCAAAGATAGAAACAAAGGAATTTATTAAAATGTGACTTACCGTCATCTACAACAATGGGATCAGTTACTGGAAACGACAAATAAGGAAATAATCATTGTTTTGAACAGCAGTACAGATGCTTACAATATAAATAATCTAAACAAGGGTGCAGTAACAATGTTAAGGACTAGTTTGTCCCACATTTGAAATGAGTCAAGAATACACACATTTTCTTGAGAAAACTTATTGAAAACTGGTAAACTAGGTTGGAAACTAATGTAAAACAATTTATTTTCGCTGGCATTTAATTTCACTTCTTTGATGCTATCGAAAATTTGGTTTTAAGTTCACAGACCTAGTTATTTTACATGTTCATGTAGATTTAATTTAGCGAATTTTAGTTATTGAAAAAAATAGCGAAATTAAAACCCGGTGAATAATTAATGAGTTTACAGTATATTTTGAATACTAACCGACAATTCTAACTGTTGCTAAAAGCTGTCCTTCCAACCAACAACTATAGATGGCGCTGTCTGATTTCTTAAGTTTGTGGACATGCACAGTATTTGCACCTTGAATGACAATTCTTTGTTGTGTTCCTGATTCATCTTCTATGATGTCATTCTTTAAAGCCTTCATAAGTAAAATTTGTTTGTTTCTCTGCCATCGAATTGCAACACCAACACCACCCCTATTTAGTTTGTAAAAATGTACATTTATTAAAATCATAAAATTATTTAACTTTAAATTTTTCAATTTTTTGTTTATTTATTCAAAACTCACTTAGACTTAAGTAACTACAAGAATTAATCAAAATTATGAAAAAACACAGGTGGCAATTCAGTCAAGTTGTTGCATAATTGTGTTTTATTTTTTATGAATTGAAGATATTTTTTGCAATAATGAATTCGGCTCGGTTTTCATCTCTCACCACAGTGCTAATCTGACTCTGCTCTTATGCCTGCCTAGCTTGGGAGAATCATTTCATGCAAATACCATTGAGGGCGGTATACATATACCGGTACTTGATTACTGTAGAATACTTTATTTTCGCTTGGAATTAATTTTCGCTGAAGGAAGGATTCAGTGAAAATAAAATCCAGCGAATATAGCTTTTTTCCTATATTTAACATTCACCTCATATTAAATCAGCGAAAATAAATTCCATACAAAACACTCAAAAAGTCTTTTCAGCGAAAATAAAGTATTCTACACTATTTTACATTAACCGAGCTGAGAAACAAACTGGTGATAGATTCTACAATTAGATAAGTGTATTTACTCACCCTGGACATAGCATGGTTGCTTTGCCATCAGTCTCCTGATAAATGGTCTTCCTGTCAGCTGATAATAATAATAATAATTTTTATATATGTCACAATTAATTATTATTATTCATATCATTATTTATTATATCATTCATTCATGTAACTTTTATAGAGTACTGCAAACTGTAATGCAAATATTTCATCTCTTCTTTCAAATTGATAAAGGGTACAAATCAACCCACACCGACAACACCCTTAACCATAACCTAACTCTGTTAATTCAAAAGTATTAACTAGTCTAGCATAACAAGCAATGAAATTACAAATAATTTATCAATGTAAATGAAATTAATGAAACAAAAATGCTGGTGAATATCAGAATTGAAATCCTAATATCATGTGATTATCAAAACTCTTTCTATCTACACTAATTTAAATTACTAAAGTCTACCGTGACTTACCCATTGGAGGCAGTGTTGGTTTTTTACCTCCCATCCCTTGCTGTGTTGTTTGTCTTGGTGTAATGTCTGATTGTAAACAATATAAAGATACAGTAATAAAGTATAACAAGTCATATATAGCAAT